TCAATATCAATTATTATTATTATTATTATTATGAAATATTAATTATTTATTATTATTATTATTATTGTTATTAAATATTAATTATTATTATAGTAATTGAATATTAAGTATTATTTTTAAGTAGAGCAGAGCAGGGCAGAGCAGAGGAGATTTCAGCAGAGAGCAGAGTAGTGCAGCTTTAAAGAACGGGGCCTAACTCGAGACCCTTGACCGAACCCCTCGAGTAACTCCTTGACTGAGTAACTCGGGTATTCCCTAATCGAGTGACCCCTTGAGTTATCCCTGATCGAGTAACCCCTCAAGTAAAACCTGACCAAGTAACCCCTTAAGTAAGTCATGACCGAGTACGTAACTAACCCCTGATCGAACCCCCTTGAGTAACCCCTGATCGAACCCCTAGAGTAAACCTTGACCGAGTAACTCATGTCCGAGTAACCCCTGAATGAGTAACCTCTTAAGTAAACCATGACCGAATATTTAAGTAACCCTTGACCAAGTAACTTGAGTAACCCCTGCCACACGATGTGGCCAGCCACATATAAAAATTTTCCTTATAATTGACTATCCCTAACTTAATACGAATTATAATTTTTGGAAAAGTTTACCATTATAATAACAATATGATCATTATATATTGTACTTCGTATATCACAAATAATTTTTTATCTTTTTTTCTCCTCTTTGGCCTTTTAAAACACTTAAAGTTTAAACTTTAACATAAAACTTTTAAAAATAGGATTTTTGATCCCATCACTTACTACCTTAATTTTATAACATGATGAACTCACCTGATCATCACCACACACCTATTGCACCTACTACAACAAAAAATCTACAAAGCCTCGAACTTAAAACTTAGTATGAAGTATAATAGTTTTTCCCTAAAATTTTAACCTCGGAATGAAGTTTAGGCTTGTCAATTGTTTGATTATAAGTCATTTTTTTAATTATATTTATTCATTTGATATTTTTATTGCATATGTAAAATAGTAAATAAAAAAATAATAAGCATATAAGAGAGAAGGAAAAAATGCATATTACCCGTGACTACATATACAAAATCTACAACATACTTTCTGTGCGGCTGGTCACACAGTGTGACCGCTTGTAAAAAAGCGGAGTAATTAATCCCTATGACACTAACAAACTAACTCTATCGTGTTGATATAGAAACTTCTAAGCCCTGTTCACTTCACCTTATATTTGCTGAACTAAAATTATTTTTGTTAATCTTAAATTATTTTTACTAAGTTAAAATTAATTTTACTGAATTGAAATTATTTTTGTTGATAATTTTTTTTATTTCTCTATTATATTTCTTCTTTAAGCTAATTGTTTATTACTAAACTGAAATTAAATATACCAAATTGAACTTATTTACACTTGAAATTATTTTTACCAAATATTATATGTTTAAGGTGAAGTGAACAAAATCTTATTATACTTATTTAGTAACCTTTAAATAACAAGTACGACACTGACAAAGTAACATCTATAACACTAACTAGGTAACCCCTATAACAATAACTGAGTAACCCTATGATGGTTGGCTACACACATTTAAAATTAATATCAAAATCTACATTAAAAATGAAAATAATAGTTTTTCTTATAGGGTGGTACATTTACGCCTACATGCCTCATATTATTATTTTTTATATGGTTTTATATATGTCTATTATGCAAATTTATATATGATAGATAAATAAAATCATTCTTATTCACACTTAGTACTAATATAATATACAAAATTTTCTAGTTTCATAAAATGGTCAAGAATGCTTATTATTTGTAGCTATTCAAAATCTATTAGTAACTATCATTGTAGGAAAAAATATCACTTGTTAATATTCTGGTGGCCCGAGTCAAAATGATAATAGAGTGGTAAAATATTGGATAAATATATCTTTTCTAAAAATTATATGCATCACTCTATATTTTACTTAATTATATATTACATTCTATGAAAATGATAGAATATCAAATATTATAAAATATATGTAGTATATTTTAAGGAATAGTATACTTGAGTGATAAATGAGCGATCTTATGTTCAATACGTATGCATTATATTGAGTTCCATACAAGAATATAAACAAACAATTTATTTCTTAAGATTATGTATGTAGGATAAAAAATTATTTACTATAATTAAAGTATAAAAATATTATTCAACATCTTTTGCAAAATTAATTTGCTACTTAATACTACCCTCGATTTCCGGAGTTCTATCCATTTACAATTCATAAAGTTAAAGTGGAGGTAGTATATTACGTAGTACATTTTATAAATAATTTATAAAATTAGTGTATTTGAGTAATAATCTACCTTTAATATATAGTTAATTATATCTTTACTAAACTGTAATATAATCTTAACTAAAATATTCAATGTAAATGAGTAAAATTTATCAGAGATTATAGATTATGAAGATTGTTTTATTATATACAATCAATAGAATCTTTGACAATTATATACATTCTAACAATAGAAAAAAAAAACTAAAAAAACTAAAACAGGGACACGTGTCGCCATGTTTTAGTATAATATATAGATAACGATTTAAAATAAAATATTTAAAAATATGATATTTTACCGGATAAATCACAAAAGAAATTTAAAATAGGAGTGTGAATAGTAGTGTAAATAATGCAATTAAAATAACATATGAAATAATTAACAAATATATAAAATTGTTTATGTGTTAACAAATTACATAAATATTTATAATCGTAGAAACAAATGATTTATTCAACAAAAGTATTATCATTTTGACCCGGACCACCAAAATATTAAAAACGCTATGAAAATGATCCATGCTTAATAATTAGATTAACAATAAAATACTAGTCGATTTGGGTGTCTGATCTCTGTAGATTGAAGGAGTAGATCTCTTCAGGCTGATGATCAGACCTCTGTTTTCGACCGAAATCGTCCACTTCGGCGCCGACGGTTTGGATATTCTGCCGATAACATGAACCTCCAAACGATATGGTTCTTAGGACCAAGAAAACCTGACCCATGAACCAAAAGTTAAACCCCTCCTCCTCACGAATTGTAGCCAGCTAATTTCAAAGAATTTCCTGTACCAATTTGTGTTTCAATAGTTGACAAATTCAGTCTGAAATTGTAGAGATGATTAGTATCGAGGTTTATAGTGGGAATGAATATCATCAATTGGTCAAAAGATGCGGATACTATAAGACAGTGTTCAGGGGAAAGATTTGGAACAACGAAAGTATTGTACATATCCGAATTAATGGTAAAGCGCCGGACGATGGTAGTTTCGTTTAACGACCTGTTAATATAAGGTACTGCCGCCATGAGAGAAGTTTTGTTGGTAACTTTAGTTTCAGAGAATATCAGTTTAGTTTTGGGGGAGTGAGAGTGTAAGTGTAGGACCATGAAGATCAAGAAAGCGGCACTAGGACCTCTTTATAGTTTGTTGGTTGGGAGTCTTAGGACTGTGAAGATCAAGACAGCGGCAGTAGACCTCTTTCTAGTTTGTTGGTTCCTTACGAGGAATAAAGTCACTTTGGATACTAAGATTTAAAAAAAAAAGAAAAAGAAAAAGTTAAATTTAGTACTCTGATTTGGTTCGGATTGGGTCTTATTGGGACTCGGGTCGTGTCAGTCAAATTATCCTCCAAGGTGGTTTCGTATAGGGCCAGATCAAGTTTGGTCCAGGTATTTTACCCTTTTGGTTACAGGTTGTGTTCGGTGCGAATCAAATTTGGGTCGAGTTTAATTTCAGGTTTTGGTTTGGGGTTCAAATCAGGTTGGGTGTTGTTTTCGGTTTGGATCATCATCGGGCTTGGTCAAATCAGTTATTAGTTATTAATGAGTTAGGTGCTAGTTTGCATTCGGATCATAGAGTGTCGGATCAAATTAGTTGTCAGTTACTAGTTTGGGGTGTTTTCACACTGTTGGAAGTTCTTGATATAAAAACAAGAGAGTTGGGGAAAAACAAATAGAGAGAGAAAAACAATTGAGAGGAAAAAGTTCCACATAAGCTGAGGAATGAGGTTTTTCCTTGTTTATATATTGTAGTGCCTTAGCACTACTTAGTTGAGTGAGTTGGAGGTATGTGTTACTCCACAAACACACACACGCGTGCTGAGCCAGGTCGGGTTGGGTCGGGCTCGAGCCTCGGGGTCTTTGGGAATGCGATGCGCGGGCGTGGGTCCTTGTTATCTTTTTGGAGAAATTTTATTTCCCTTTCTTTGTTAAACAGAATATTCTTTTTTGTTTGTTGGGATTATTCTTTTCTGACTGTTGGGATTACGGAATTAAATCAGTCATTAATCCTTTGATTGTAGCTAACTGATTCAATTCCTTGTTTTTTGCTTCTGTTGTTGACTGGCCGAATTAATCTGGTCACTTTCTAAGCCAGATTCTTCTCTCGTTTTATGCTTCCTGTTTCCCCTCTTCTGCCTATATAAACTCGTTGCTTTTCCCAGTCAGAATACACAACAATTCGTACCTTTCTCTCTTCTCTAAAATACTAAACACTATTCTTGTTTTCTGGGAAAATATTCTGAATTCCATTCGAGTTTGTGAGTGCACATAAACTCCGGCGCCGTGCTTATCTTGGAGGGCGACCGCTTCTAGTCTACTACACCGGGAGGTAGCACAGAATCATCTTTTAGGTCAGTGGTTCTCCACGACACGGCTATTGTCAATTTGGCTCACGCATCAAGAGATAAGTTATTTTTGTTTAATTGCTTATTAGTATAACAATCTAAAAGACGATTATGGCTTCCAAATTCCTTGTTACTAATATGTCTAAACTAGAACCTCTTGATTGCAAGAATTATAAATGTTGGGCTGTTAGGATGCATTTTTATTTAGAGCAGATTGATGTTGCATATGTTCTTGATGCTATTGTTGAACCTGTTGATAAAGATGATTTGTCTGAAGTTGAAATTAAGTTTAAGGATGATAGAACCTGTAAGGGCATGTTGTTGCATTATATGTTGAATAGTTTGTTGAATATTTAAATGGGTTTTTATCATGCTAAGGATATTTGGGATGCTTTAGAGAAAAAGTATGGGTCTGATGATGCTTGTACTAAACGTTATTGTGTTAGTAAGTGGTTGAGTTTTCAAGTTGTTGATGATAAGCCTATTATTGATCAGATTCATGCTTATGAGAATGTGTGTATTATTATAGCTACTGAAGGTCTGTCTATTTGTGATATTACCCTTGCTGTTGTTCTGATTGAGAAACTCCCTCCCTCTTGGAAGGATTTTCGTAACCAATTGATGCACAAAAAGAAAGAGCTAACCTTAGAGGAGCTTGTAGGACACCTCAAAATTGAGTAGGAAAACCGTATCAAAGACAAAGGCCCTTATGTTTTTCCTTCCTCTTCTTCTGCCAAAGCCAACCTTGTTGAACCCAAATCAAACAACCAGTCCAAAGCTAAAAACACCCTTAAGCCTAATGGGAAGGTTCAGAAGTACAAGTTTAAGGGAACCTATTATGAGTGTGGTATGACTGGTCACGGGGCTAAAGATTGAAGGATCAAGAAGAAGAATGGGCAAAGTCAAGCAAATCTCATTGAGGATTTTGACGTTATTGTTGTTGTTGTTTTAGAAGCTAACTTTACAGGTAATGTTGCTGAGTGGATTGTTGACACCAGGCACATCTGCGCCAACAAGGACATGTTCACTACCTATGACAAGGTTGAAGGTGAAAATGTCTTCATGGGCAACTCAACTTCTGCTTCTATCCAAGGCAAAGGGAAGATCGTTCTTACTCTCACTTCTGGAAAATTGCTTACTCTCACTAATGTTTTGCATGTTCTAGAAATGTGCAGGAATTTAATTTCTAGCAGTTTGCTCATGAAAGATGGACTGAAGCTCTCCTTTGATTCTGATAGATTAGTTCTTACTCGCAATAGGGATTTTGTGGGGAAGGGCTTTTGTAATGGGGGGGCTTTTTACTCTTGATGTTAAAGTTGACACTATGAATAAGAATGTGTAGAGAATAAATTCAAGCGTTAACCCCTAGCTTGAACCCCACTGTGATCATACACTAAAGTACGGTGGCGTCCAAAGGGAAAGAAGATAGAGCAAAAGAGTCGCCAACAAGTTTTAGGAACTTGTAAACCGTTCACAGGGTGAAGGTTACACCCCTTAACGATCCAAGAGATCGTCAACTCCATAAGGTCTTGAACCAAATAAGGGTTCGGGGATGAAGGTACAAATCCAACCTAAAAGAGATTGAACCTGCCCTAATAATAGGCCTCTACTTTATTCTGATCGTATTCATGTGCGCTTTCTGACTAACATGCAATCAATATGATTAACCCTAAACCTGTTTATCTATGTTGGTTGAATATTAATGCACAAATAAACTATTATTGGCGATCACTTGAATTATAATCAAATTAACCCTAAACAAGATTATTAATTATCTTATTAAAGCGTGATTACAAGTGCAAATTCCCTTTAAACATGCATAAAAGGTGTGATCAAGCAATAACAATAAATATCAAGCAACATAATAATCATGACAATAAAATTATAATCATGATAATAATCATCATAGATAAAATAATCATAATCAAAATAATAATAATAATAATAATATTCATAATATTCATAATCATCATAAATTATAACAATTATAAACATAATCATATTCATGTTAATATTAAAGCATAATAATAGCAAGATCCTAGGCATGATACTAACAAGATTAATAACAAACCCTAGCATGTCACTAAGCAATAAAAATTAAATCTCTAACCCTAACATGATACTGACAATCATAAATATTAGGAAGAACATAGGAAGCATCGTAACAATCATATTTAACATTAAAATTACCCTAGACATGATACTAGGAATATCATAAGAACAATGTAAACATGATTTCTACATCATAATATCAATAAATCAATTAAAGCACTTACTTTGATGCCTCGTACCTCTTTCTATTAACAAAATACACACGTTAGTAACTTCAAGGAAAATAATAATCAAAACAATTAAATTAAATAATTGAAAGAGAGATTTGGGACCAAACCCTCAGAAATTAAACCTTTCACGTCTAGGGAGAAGGCAACTTCGAATATGGCTAGATGTTTCTAGATCTAATGAATGCAGAATTTTGTATTTGAAAAGAAAGTTTAGAAAAGAGAAAGAGAGAGAGATGAAATAATCAAGAAAACTTGATGAGAATTAGTGAATGATTAAGAGAGAATTAGAGAATTAATGATTGCGAATGAAAAATGATTGTAGGTGAATGAAAACGGAGTTTTTAATACGTTATTTATAGAGAAATCAGCCAAAAAAGATAAAATTAACAAAACAGAGTCTGGCGCACGCAACACGAGGTTGGCGCCAGCCATTGGCCATTGGCGCCAGGCGCCAACGTCAGCGCCAGGCGCCAATGGCTAGCACCAGGCGCCAATGGCTGGCGCCAGACGCCAGGCTTGGTTGCAGGCGCCAATGCCTGTAGTCAGGCGCCAGGCCTGTTTTCAACGCGTTTTCGAAAATCAGATAAGTTTGCCGTATTGGTGGATAAAATCGTATATTTTCCTCAAAAATGCTATTTGATTTTAATTAAAACTCTGAAAAGTCAGCAAAAGTCAATTTATCAATGCTAATTGAATTAGGAATGAAAAGAACCTTCTAGAAGAATCTAGAAGACTAAAACCGTTCCTAATTGCATTGGGCTGCATATAAAGCTAAAACCGGGCCCTGTTTGGTAAATTGGCCATAACTTCCTCAATATTCATCGGAATTGGGCTTATAATATATCGTCGAAAAGCTCTTGTCAAGCCCCATCCAACTACACTATTATTGGACCCATATCATGGACCAACCAAACTTGATTGGCTGTTTTCTTAAAATAAGTTTTCAAAAAACAGAGAGAAGAGAAAAGAAATTAAAACTATTCGCAACACTAGACTTTCCACACTTTCGCTTCATTCGATTATGATTCGACGTGAAAGGTACTCATCACCGGGTTTGGTTTTGGGGTGACACAAATGGGTGTCTACAGAAGCCCCCACTTTGTTTGAGTTTGGAGAAACGCAAGTTTCGAAAACGAAAGTCAAATTATCGATAGGGACGGAGAATGATTCAGAACGTTATGCGATCCTAAATTATTCTTGTAACGCCGATACCTGCAAACTAGCTTTAGTTAAACAGATAAAAGAGTTAAGAAACGCATATCTTGTGAAGGAGTTATGTCTTTGATAAGTGCAATTACTAGATATATCAAGGATCACTATTATGGAGATAATAAGTTCATTCTATAGGGTCGTCAATGTTTGGTTCTAGATATGACAATTGATCTTTGGGCTAGCTTAATGGCCCAAAGCCTTATAGAATAGATCCTACAAGGTCACACATAAGAGTATTGGGTTAAACAAGTTAGAGGCCCATTATTGGGCCTCATGAGTTCATGACATACCATGTTGATGATTGGGCTTGGATAGTTAGAAGAGTCTAATGGGTTTTGGACTTGACATGGTTTTATTTCTAGATATGATCTATAAATATAAACCATGCCTAGGGTTTCAAGATATAACATTTGACATACAGTAAATTGTCACACAACCAACCAAGCATCCCAAAACCCTAATTCTCTCTCTCTCTCCTCCCTGTCCGTACGACTCTCCCTTGTGGGCGGCGCATGTGGTGGCGCGTGGGTGGTGGTGTGGTGTGTTCGTGGCTCGGATCTCTGTTGAAGGTTGATTGAAGCGTTCAGTCACAACTAACTAGCCTTAGTGGAGGTTTAATCCGTGCTCGTGGACAAAGTAGAGGAATCACACGTGGGGTTCTTGTTCTCCTTATTGTTCTTGCTCGATCACTTGTGGAATCACGCTTCAAAGGTATTATTCTTACTCTTTATGTGTTATGCATGAGATCCTTGGTTAGGTGCTATATGAATATGATTCATGATTATTTCCGCTGCGTAGTACCTTTTTTTTCCCTACAGTGGTATCAGTTAGCCTCTTGCAATTACATATATTGAGTATTAAACCTTTGTTAATCCACAATTTTAATTCAATTAGGAGGGAGAATAATTTAATTATAGGTCAATTATTATATTAAATGAGATTTAACAATATAGAATCATTAAAGTTGTTTAATTTGCTCCATATTAGCCCTAAATTGATCCGAAAATAGCCCTTATTATTCGAAAAATTCGAACCCCCCCCCCTTAATATTTCGAAATTTTCAAAATCATTAACCCCAATTTATGAAATTTGTGTTTTTGATTTTGATTTAATTCGAAAGTTTTATGTTTAAAGAATTTAATCTAATTGATTTCATGATAAATTATGAATTTTTCATGATCAACCTATTTAATTTAAAAGTTAAATTGAATTGGGATTAAATTCATGAAGAACCCTAATTTTAAAATTGAATATGATTTGATTTTTAAATTAGATGGACCACATTAATTTTAATTTTAATTTTAATAAAAAATGTTTTGTTTAAATTAAAAATCAATAAAAAAAAAGGATTAAGGAGGGGATTGAGGTGCGGCAACCGCGGCTGGGTGGCGCAGCTACGAAGACTGCCGCACTGGTGGTGGTCCAGGAGAGAGGGTGGGCTGGGCACGGGTCAGTCAAGGGGGCAACGCAGCAGTGCACCACCCCGATGTGTGTGTTGCTGCTGTTGTTCGCGCGTCGCTGCAAGGGCAGCACACACCGCAAGGTGTGCGGCCACCGTGGCCGGCTTCGGCTGGCCACACCACGGTGGCTGACGCGGCTTTTTAAAAAAAAACATTATTTTATTTTATTTTGAATAAAATCAGTTTTCAAAATTAAAGATTAAAAGATAAGTTTTGATTTTGAAAAGATAATTAACAAAGTTAAAGTTGTTAATTTTGTTAAGATAGGATAATTATGGAGCAAAAGATTCTATTTGGATAATAATTGATTAAATAATGTGATTATCCCATAATTATTTTAGGATATTAATTGATTTAAAATATGTGATTGGCAAATAATTAGGATAGAATTTCCTAAGAGTTAGGATAATCATGGAAAATAAATATGATTTATCTTCCATAATTAAAATAAGATTTGATTCTATCTCATACCTAAATTAAAATATATGATACTTTATAATTGGTTATGAATAATATATGATATTATCTAATTACAGTAATTAATTAAAATATGAGATATTTTAGGATCCATGTTTCCTTTACTGTGAACATTCGATGTTGTAGTTTAGGAAAGCATGATGAGTGATTTACTATATGGCATTTTATAATATATGATGTTATATATATTGCTATATAGACTAGTATGGCCCATAGATTCTAAATACGATCTGCGCATCGTTTCGTATTTTTGTAATCTAAATACGGTCTGCGTACCGTTAAGTATTTTTGTAATTTATTTTATTTTATTTAAGTAGTAGATAGAATAGAATAGTATTACAGGTTGCAGTTAATCCAAGAATCCATAGAGTGGAGGCCAAAGGAGCAAGATGGATGAGATCCATGAAGGTTCAAGTGGGAGCTTTTGCTTTATTAGTTTTCTTAGGATTAAGGGGCCATACTATGTCATGTTTTATTTATGCATTAGTAGATTATGCATGTTAGATTTTATTTATGTTGTCTGATGATGCGCTAGAGTTCACTAAATAATCACAACATAATGAATCTAGGTCCCAGTAATATTGAGGTTGCTTTTCCAATTAAAAACCCGATGAAACCTTCGATATTTATGGCAGGTCATGCCTCAGCTGGGTGTCATACTATATCTTAGGGGAGTGGGGGTAAATCACGTTTTACACTTTTAATTGGTTATACTCATCAAGGTTACCTAAAGAGTTTAGAACCTTGAATCTAAGGGTAATAATTAAACATGTGATGGGTAATTATTCAACCAAGAATTACAAAGAGTTGTAATCAGTAAAGAGTTTACTCACCTTGAAAATGCAATGTTTGATGGTAGGGCCTCAGTCCGGTCAATTATTGCACAAATAAAGGATCTTGGAATCATTCTATTCAATAGGGATCAATTAAAGATTGAATGAATGTTTTAAAGTTACCAATTATATAATCGCTTATGGTACTTTAAAAGTGTATTAAACATAATTATTGAATTTTTCCTCGTTTGTTTTTGTTTGTAGATGAATAACTTATACGACAACACAATTTTACCAATGAAACTTAACTTAAGGCTGAATCTCATAAACTTCAGGGAATGGGAAAAGGAGTTGAGAAATGTTCTCACAAGCCATGGGCTTGAATCTCGTTTATACATTCCTGTTGAGAGCATATACACAGAAAAGTATGGAGCTGAAAGGCATGCTGAAATTGTTTCAGCTAGAGAAAATCAGAGAGCTCATTTTAAAATCCATTCCAACTTGTTGGAAAAGAAGATTCAGGCACTATGAGCTAACCATATTGTACAAATGTCTTCGTGCTATCTGTCGAGGTGGCATAGGAGCACTAGGAAGTGGAGGCATAAATGATCAAAATGTAAGAGAGGTCGTTAACTCGATCCCTTAGATTTACTATTCCTGGACTGACAGTGTAAGGTATGAGGCTTACAATGTTCATTGTAAGATAATGGCTAAAAGACTCATGCCTGGTCAGTCAGTAAGGGCCCATGTAAAGGAATTGATTGAAATGTTCAATCAAATGGATGTCCTTGGGAAACCGATCGATGATGACTCTGCTCATGATATTATTTTGTTCTCACTCCATGATGGTTTTGACATTGTCAAGCTCACTTATAATGATGAGGGATCTTCGGTGACATTGATCAATCTGTTGCTTAACCATGCTGAGGAGTTTCTGAAGAGGAGAGGAAGCGAATGCTTCTTTTGCGGTAGTTGACCATGCCATACACCAGGGTGTCCCCACTATACACCAGTGAAAACGGAAGGTAAAGAGTTACTTGATGTTTTCGTTGTAGAAATTAATCTTACTTCATCTTCCACTTGGGTATTTGATACTAGATGTGGTGCTCATATCGTTAATAACGTGCAGGGCTTGAAAGAAAGTAAGAAGTTAGCAAAAGGGGAAGTAACACTTCGAGTAGGAAATGGAGCAAAAGTTGCTGCACTTGCTATTGGAAGCTATCACTTAAGACTTCCCTTTGAACTTATTTTGGTGCTTAATAACTGTTATTATGTACCAACAATAACTAAAAACATTATTTCAGTTCCTGTTTTAGATTCTGAAGGATTTTCATTTGAAATAAGAGACAAGTGTTGTTTTATTTCGAAAGAAAGTATGTTATATGCTAACGCCAAATTAATTAATGGTTTGTATGTATTAGAATATACAACCCATATCTACAATATTGATCATAAAAGGCAGAAAAAAGATGGTTCAAACCCAACTTACCTATGGCATTGTAGGCTTGGTCACATAAACCAAAAGCGCATCCAAAAATTACATAAGGATGGACTTCTTTCTTCATTTGATTATGAATCATTTGAAAATTGTGAGTCATGCTTGCTTGGGAAAATGACTAAGTCACCCTTCACTGGTATAGGTGAAAGAGCTAGTGATCTTTTGGGACTCATACATACGGATGTGTGTGGACCAATGAGTTTAAAAGCAAGGGGTGGGTTTAACTACTTCATTACTTTTACTGATGATTTAACTAGATATGGTTATGTCTACTTAATGAGGAACAAATCGGAATCCTTTGAAAAGTTCAAAGAATTCCAAAATGAGGTACAAAACCAACTTGGGAAGACGATTAAAGCGTTATGATCAGATCTTGGTGGTGAATATTTAACCCAAGAATTTGATGAACATCTGATTAATTGTGGAATACTTTCACAATTAACTCCTCCAGGAACGCCACAGTTGAATGGTGTATCAGAAAGGAGGAACATGACTTTACTTGATATGGTGAGGTCCATGATGAGCTTTACTGATCTTCACATATCATTTTGGGGATATGCATTAGAAGCAGCTGCTAGAATACTAAACAGAAGCCCGTCCAAAGCAGTTGAAAAGACTCCATATGAGATATGGAATGGAAGAGCTCCAAAGTTGTCTTTTCTCAAGATTTGGGGATGTGAAGCCTATGTAAAACATTTACAAGGTGATAAAATACAACCTAAATCAGACAAGTGTTTCTTTGTGGGCTATCCAAAAGAAACAAAAGGGTAATACTTCTACAATCGCGAAGATAACAAAGTGTTTGTTGCTCGCGATGGTGTCTTTCTAGAAAAGGAATTCTTGTCCAGAAAGCCAAGTGGGAGTAAAGTGGTTCTCGAAGAAATTCGAGACGAGCAACAAATGGATGTGGATAACACCACATCAGAGGCGAGGGCGCATGAGTCGATTAATCATGCGTCGGAGCAAGCTAATTCAACTAGCGAGACTCCTATCGTCCCACTTGAACCTAGTTCATGCGTAAATCTTCAAGGAGTTGGAGAGAATATTTCTATTGTTGCTCCTACCCCGTAGGTCTGCCAGAATCAGAAACAAACAGTTTGTTGAGGTTCTGATAACTGAGGATTCTTAAATCTTCTTATCGGAGAATGAAGAACCCACAACCTACAAACAAGCTTTGACGAGCCCCAACTCAGATAAATGGCTCGAGGCCATGAAGTCCGAAATGGAATCAATGTCTGAAAATGAAGTTTGGACCCTAGTTGACTTGCCTAATGGGGTAAAACCTATTGGTTGCAAATGGGTTTACAAAATTAAAACAGACAAGGATGGAAATGCCTACATCCATAAAGCAAGACTGGTTGCAAAAGGATACAGACAGATTCATGATATTGATCATGATGAAACCTTTTCCCTAGTAGCCATGCTTAAGTCCATTTGGATACTTCTAGCGATTGCTGCATTTTTCGATTATGAAATTTGGCAGATGGATGTCAAAACCGCCTTCTTGAATGGGTTCTTGACGGAGGAAGTGTATAAGACACAACCTGAGGGTTTTGAGGATCCAGAAAATCCTAGTAAGGTATGCAAACTTCATAAATCCATTTATGGATTGAAGCAAGCATCCAGGAGTTGGAATCTTCGTTTTGATGAAGCAATCAAACAGTTTGATTTTCTCAAAAGTGAAGAGGAACCTTGTGTATACAAGAAGTCTAGTGGGAGCAGCATTGTTTTCTTAGTCTTGTATGTAGATGACATACTACTCATGGGAAATGACATACCAATGCTTGAGTTAGTCAAGGAATGGTTGAAGAGTTGTTTTTCCATGAAGGACTTAGGAGAGGCTAAATACATATTGGGGATCAAGATACATCGAGACAGATCTTGAAGGATGATTGGATTAAGTCAAGAAACTTACATTGATAAGGTTCTTGATAGGTATTCCATGAAAGACTCTAAGAGAGGATTTCTCCCCATGTCTCATGGCATTACACTCAGTAAATCTCAATGCCCTAACACGCCAGAAGAGATGAGACGTATTGTTGATAAACCTTATGCTTCGGCAATAGGGTCAATCATGTATGCCATGATATGTACAAGGCTGGATGTTGCATATGCTCTGAGTATGTGTAGCAGGTTTCAGGCAAATCCAGGAGAAGCACACTGGAAAGCTGCCAAGAACATCCTTAAGTACTTGAGAAGGACTAAAGGAATGTTTCTAGTATATGGTGGCGAAAATGAGTTGGTTGTCAAAGGTTATACTGATGCGAGTTTCCAAACAGATAGAGATGATTTCATATCACAATCTGGATACATTTTCTGTCTGAATGGAGGAGCAGTGAGCTGGAAGTGTTCGAAGCAAAGCATTGTCGCAGACTCTACAACAGAATCAGAATATTTAGCTGTTGTTGAAGCAGCTAAGGAAGCAGTTTGGATTAAGAAGTTCCTAACTGAGCTGGATATCATACCAAGTGCTCAAAAGGGAATCGAGTTGTATTGTGATAATAATGGCGCCATTGCTCAGTCAAAGGAGCCTAGGTCACACTTCAAATCCAAACACGTAGAGAGGAAATATTACCTCATTCGAGAGATCGTTGACAGAGGAGATGTCAAGATGTGCAAAATTCATACGGATGAGAACATTGCTGATCCCACTTCCAAAGCATGAGAAACATGCTAGTGAATCTAGATTGAGGCAAATGATGTAATTAGAAGTTGTATTTATTTTAGGAGAAAAATAAGTTACATATGTAATAAACTCATTTGCAGAATTATGTTTAATCAGAAATTTTATTATTTCTCTTATTTAATGATGGTTTTCAATATTAAATAAAATGTCCAAAATAATTATGGATCGATTGGCCTATCAAGTTGATGACCTGGTGAATGAAACCCCACAGGTGAACAAAATCCATATATTATTTAAGTTCCTAGTTCGGAATCATTAAACTGGACATAAATGATTTCTAAAATTGGACTAGCATGTAAGATTGATTGGATAGCGCAGTTTCATGGGCTATAGGAGCATAGTGAGGCTCGGTCAATCACATGGATATGCATGAATGATGCATGATCGAACTACTGACCTACTTTGAAGTTCAAGTATAGAGCTTCCGAATATATTAGTGGATTACTTTGACATGAGTGGAACATTGATTTCATTCAATGGATGTTATGGATGTGATACACTCAAACGTCTGCCCGTAACTGGAGATTATAAAGGGTGTTTCCCGGTTATTTCAGAGATTGAGTGGGAGCTTTGGTTGCCACAAGATTGAATTGAGTCTACCTATTTAATTAGGAATGTGTCTTGGCCCCTTGAAGAGGGAGAATTCAGAAAAATGCATGGCCGTGCTCAAATGGATTACATAGTAATCATTTGTTCTGTGAATCCCACTCAGTTTTCAAGAAAAGATTTGTAGACTAATATGATCACGACATGAGATGTAATCATATTATCAAATTGACACACATTGACTTAAGGAATTTGAATATTGCGCACTTGTCTCAAACAAGTGGGAGATTGAAGGAGTTATGTCTTTGATAAGTGCAATTACTAGATATATCAAGGATCACTATTATGGCGATAATAAGTTCATTCTATAGGGTCGTCAATGTTTGATGCTAGATATGACAATTGATCTTTGGGCTAGCTTAATGGCCCAAAGCCTTATAGAATGGATCCTACAAGGTCACACATAAGAGTATTGGGTTAAACAAGTTAGAGGCCCATTATTGGGCCCCATGAGTTTATGACATACCATGTTGATGATTGGGCTTGGATAGTTAGAAGAGTCTAATGGTTTTTGGACTTGACATGGTTTTATTTCTAGATATGATCTATAAATATAAACCATGCCTAGGGTTGCAAGATATAACATTTGACATACAGTAAATTGTCACACAAGCAACCAAGCATCTCAAAACCCTAATTCTCTCTCTTTCTACTCGGCCCTCTCTCTTTCTCCTCCCTGTCCGTACGGCTCTCCCTTGTGGGCGGCGCATGTGGTGGCGCATGGGTGGTGGTGTGGTGTGT